GGCTTCACGCCATTTTCCCTTGCCTTTCTTGGATCGCGTTGATCGTTTTCCAAGTCCCCCTGCCCTTCCGCCTTTGGCAGGAGGTTCAAGTGTTGTGATCTTTGGTGACTGCAAAAAGCTACGAAACACAGTTAAAAAGGGGCGAATACGTGCATCCGACGGGGTATTTTTAACTGACTCAAAACGGCCAGCCCCTCGTTCAGGTAGATTCGGGCACTTTTCTGAGTGTGCCATCTTCCTTGGAGAAGGATGCGGTCTAAGTTCTGATGCTTCTGGAACCAAAACGTGGCCCCCCCCCCTCCGAAGGGAGTAGGGCCGGAACCCAACATCATGAATCTTGAGGCCTTGCAGGCATAAATTAAACAATGCTCGCCATTTCACGGGCGATGGGGTTAACCGAGTACTTGGCGTGCCAGCTGCCTTCCAACAACGAAGAAGCCGGACTACCGGTTCGTAACCTAGGACTACGCTCTCAGCTGCACCGTGGCGTTTTCCACCTTTGGTGAGCCCAAGGTTAATTAAAGCTTGTCCGTCCCCCGAGCCTAGGGTCATATGGCTTGAAAGGAGCCCCAGGATTTCTCCTGTACGTAACATGGAGTAAAATCCCACTAGCAGAGAAACTGCAAATGAAATCCAACCCTTAAAAATGGCCCATCCCGCCATTGCATGCACCAGATGCTCCGGCAAGGGTGGAGCGCGGTTGGGCAGTTCGTTCGTCTGCCATGTCTTCAGGAGCCTCCAGGCTGCCGGCATGTGCCCTCGCAAGCCGGGCTGGGTGTCCTGCAACCCAGCCAAGGTATCACAAGCCAAGCCACGGCCCTGTCCAGAAGACCATAGGTGTTCAAGATAATCGCAGACTAGGGGATCAAGCTTCGCTTTGTTGGTAGGCAAGGTCAGCCCCTCGTGCTTAAGGAAAGAGAGAAATTGGTCCACGGCTTTGTCATAGCGACGTCTCGTTGCGGGCTGTACTGTGAGCTGGCGTAGTGTACCCAGTCCTTTTCGGATCTTTGCGCGCTCTTGCTGTGTTCCTCCCTCAAGTATGCGCTTAGGCATGCTTAACCTTGCCCTGCACCCGACTCCCCCACCGACTTGGCTTGTCAGCAGGGTTACAGTCGGTACTCACATACCCCCACATAATTTGAGAATTCGAACACAGCAATAGCGCATTGATCCTGGACATCACGCTTCGAAGCTTCCTTGAGCTCGTCCTGCCCCGGGTCAACCCATGGAGGCAGACCAACGAATCGGTCAAGTGTAGCATCCTCACACCACGATGCTGCTTGCGTTCCACCCGCCATCGAACAGCATTGAGTATAGCCCTCAACTCCAGGGAGTTGATGTGCTCCTTGCCCTTGGTCCATCGCCACCCATTGACAACCTTCCATCTCCAGAGCTTAGCTGGAACCGAAGCCCTCAGACGATGGAAGCGAACAAGCTGCGTGCTAGGAGTCGACAACAGGATATCCTCTCCCTTGAGGCTGATGAGGTTACCCAACTTGAAGGCTAGCTCCCCCTCTGTGCCACCCTGCTTTTCAATGCTCCGAATAGGCATCCGCATGAGACGCCCCTGGAGCAACTCGCCAGAGCCTGCCTTACATGCGTCCACAACATCCTGTGGGCTCATGGCGGTGACCAACCCAAGAGTTGACAGGAGCTGGTTAATCAACCAACTGACAACGGGCACGCTCCAAGTGTTGCCTAGCAAGGCGAGCCTGGTGTCGTTGTACCCAGCCTTATGACGATCAGCTTTGCCTGCGCAAGGAGCCGTGTAGTTCAAGGGGAACCCTAGGATCAACTCCCTTTCCTTGACACTTGCAACTCGAAGTTCACCACGACGGTTTACCAAGCAATGCACCTCTTGATATTGGTATGGCGGGAACCTGTGTTGATCCGACTGCCACCTTGCAATCTCTGATTCCGTGCAGAAAGACAGTCCTGCCGGCTTTCGCCCAGGCCCTGGGGATGGCCTTGCCGTGGTAAAGGTGGGAAATGGTTTGGACGGTGTCACCTTCGCCCAACCTGGCTCCAAGACGTCCTCTAGCGACTGCTGAGCTGTCAACTCCCATGTCACTGGCTCCTCATTGTTGACCTTTGCTGCTCCCGGGCCAGTCAGGAGCTGCCACGTGGTCCAATAAAGCCTCGGTCTATGGCACCAAGAAATGCCTCCCGCATCAACCCGCACTGGCTGGTCGCCAAAATCCTGGCTCATGATGTCCCTGTCCTGCGCGTCCATAGAGCTTACTGACTCCATCAAGGCGTGCACTTGGGCCCATTTGAACTGTTGACGAACGAGGTCACGTACGCGGGAGACATGAATGAAGAGGCAAGACCTGGGATCACGTAGAGCTCCCTTCCTATCAGTGTTGAGTCCGGAGACTCCTTGACACGGTGGTCCTCCGCCAATCAGAACTACACTTGCCTGGGAGAACTTCAGGCTCCAGGTGAGGACCTCATGCTCGGTGATCTCCTCCACGTCGTTGTATACCAACACGCCAGGGTAATGAGCCTCGACGACTCTCCGTGCCGCCGGGTTCTTCTCTACGGATATGTAGCCCACGATATGGACATCCTGGAGGTCCAAGGCCACCCTAATGGCACCAATGCCATCGAACAGGCCAATCACCAGCACACCATGATCAGGTAGTGGTCGGGGGCGCTGTCCTCTCAACCCTCCTAAGGCAACCATGCTCCCAACGGGGGTCAGACCGTCTGAACGGCAGACTCCCCCACCCGTGTTTGATGCGTCACTGCACGTAACCATGGGGTGCATGGGCAAACGGAAGTCAAGTCTTACCAGCGGGAGGAAACTCAAGAAACGCAGAATCTCCAGCCTGCACTCCCGCGGCAAAGGTTTCCAGCGTCCTCCCGACGAGTTGAAGGACTCGATGAACTTCCAAACCGCATTCAACGACCCCAATGCAGGCCTGCGATACATGGAAAAGTAGACCAATCCTCCACAAACAACCTGGACCTGCCGCTGTGAGACAGCCTGCTGACCCACGAGAGTCAACGCCAGGCTCAGGTACTTCCCAATCTTCGCCTCCTTCGGGAAAGCTACCCCACGGACCCCGTCCACCGTTGCTCCTTGCAGTTCGGCATGAGGTGACCGCTGAACAGACTTCTTCTCATTTCTGGGGACCTCCCACACGCCGTACTCATGCCTTAGTGCCATCACTGCCTCTGGCACCGAACCTTGCACCTCAACCATGCCAGTTGCCTCAACCTTCTCCAAGAGGTCATAGTTGTCGAGGTAGACACGCCAAGTGGGATTCGCAACTGTGAACGCTCGATCCTTTCTCAGCTCGGACACCTGTGCCTGGCCTTTCTCATCCCCTTTGGCTGACCATTTGACCAAGTTCCTGTGGACGTTCTGAGCGAGGCTCACGGAGTTCAGGAACCCCATAGGCAATACCCGAGACGCCAAATAGACGACTTTCCCCACCAGATGTGATGGCAATGCAGAGTCAGGGACCCTTTTGTTGAAGGCAAGATACTTGGTCCAACAGCTAGGCACAGCCATGGTATAGAAAAAACACTTCACATCTTCAGAGGAAATCAAAAGGTTTTCATCGGGTTGCAGAAAAAAGGGGCTCATCATGCTCCAAGACGGAAGAGTATCGATGTCGCCTCCCAACGAACGACATATGTTGTTGAGAGGCACCAGATTCATAATCAGGCGACAAATCTCAATTCCTTGAGCCGTGGTCTCCTCCTTGGAAACTCCAAAAAGGCCGTTCAGGAGTGGTCCACTCCCGGTTTGAAAGACCTCATGCTCCTCCAGGAGACAACACACTCCCGCACCAACCAGCCCTGCACAGAGCTCCCCCCAAGCTCCGTCCTCGACCATTACCTTAGGGCTCCTAATGCTTCCCCAACACTCCCTGGGCTTGAGGAACGAGTCGAAAGAGAGGACATATTCCCGACATCCTAGTGTGCACACTTCGACCAAAGGGACCCGACCGATCTCACGTGGCAAGGCCGGCGAAATGTTCTCCCACTTTATCCACCGAGCCACTCTGACCTCGTCGCCCTTGTAGTCAATCCCCTTGACGCTGAAGAAAGCCTGCCAGTCGACCCCCTGGACCGAGATGTCCAAAGCACAGAACCTCTCTACTTCACTCCGTATCAGGTCTAAGCATCCCCGTTGTGATGGACTCACACTCGAATCTGAAACAATGCAATCTCCCCAAAACGAATTCAAACCAACACATACGCAAGTCACCCAATCAATCACTTCCCCTCGACATGTAGGCCACAATGATCTCAAAACGTTGATGGAGGTGGGCAAAGGAAAAAAGGCGGTCTCTCCCCTACCCATGGTCTTGCTGCGAAGTGGTGCAACCTCCATCAACCGCTGAAGAATCAAAGAACCCAAACGATCGATCCGCTGACCCTCAAAGCTGCTGCAATCACCCTCTTTTCCAAGACCCATCGGAAGTCCCAATGTGCCCTGGCAACTCACTCCGCTTCCTTCAAACTTCGGCGGAGGAGGAGGAAAACTGTACCCCTCATCGATGACTGACGTAGTCACCTCATCTGCCTTCGCATCATGCTCCGGCAGGGATTGCCCGGAATGGGGCATAGTTCTTGGCCCGTCAACAGGCTCCTCAACCAACGAACCTGCAGCGTCAGGCCAAGCCTCAACTGTAGCGCTCATAATGTCCACCAGCCCTCGCTCCCAAGGGCTTACTTCCCCTGATGCTCCTCCTTCTTGTTCTTGTCCCCCTTGTTGGATGTCTTGCCCTTGCCCTTGTCCTGCGACGGGCGATAGCTCGAACCCTTGTCCTTGTCCTTGCCTTTGCCCTTCGAAGAGCGGCCTTCCGGCTGAGAGGCCAGAAAGGAAATCTTCGCTTCCTCCGCGGCAGCCTTTTGAGCTGAAGAGAGCTCCTCGCGTGCTGCTAAAGTCATGGTGTCCTGAGGACACACTTCGAGCCGTTGGCTCACTGTCCAGTGAGCGCCCCCCAAGGTGGACTCGATCGACTTGATCCTCTGGGCCACCACGTCCGCGGCCCTCGCAGGGACCCCCTTCACCAGGAGGTCCAACACCGTGCACAGGTTGATGAGCTCGCGCTGGATGGGCCCCGATGCTTTGCGATGCAGCTGCTGCCGGAAGTAAGCAAGTCCAACAGGAGCCAATGCTCCCGGCTGATCGTCCGATCCAATCGACTGGAGGAGTCCTGTACGCATAGCCTGAAGCGACTGAGCTGCCAGAGCTCCAGGGCAGAGCTCCGCAATCTTCTGCAACTTGGTCTCGGGGTTGAAGAGAGCTGCTTCTAGTGCTTCCCCCTCCTCGGACGTGGAACCACCGCTGGAGCTTCTCCCTGAGGATCCCGACTTGTCGCTCTTCTGCCTCCGACCCTTGCGCCGGGCGCGCTTCGCAACCCTTTTCCGGACCTTCTCTGAAGGCCAGGCCCGTGCCTGCGAAGAGGGCTGACAGGCCCTTGACAGCCGCCGTGCGCGGCTTGCGCCCCGACAGGTCCACACTGCTCGATGAGCTCGACGTTGAGGCCGGACCAGCCTTGTCCTTCTTGCCGTCGACCTTCTTCTTGCTCCTTCCGCCCTTGTCTGGCGAACTGTGCAATGAACCCTTGTCCTTCTTGTCCCGCTTCTTCTTCTTCGACCGGGCTTTTTTCTTCTTCTCCTTCTTCTTCAAGGAGCGCCCTCGCTCCCGGTCCAACGCACCCTCCTTGGGTGAAGGTGCTCCCATGCCTGCTTCTCGGGCGCGTAGGTCCTTCAGGTCGTCCTCCACGGTCTCGACGGTCTCCAAATTGTCGACCCAGCCTTCCTCCGCAACCTTGTCTCTCGCCTGACGAACCATCTTGCAATGTACCAAGTCCTCTGAGACCCTGTCGCCAGAGCAATCTGCTCCGCACCGGTGCAGACGAAGGATGTTCTTGGTCTTGTCGCTGGCGTGTCGGAGGAGGTTCTCGTTGCTGGTCCCTGTTGCTTTGATCAATGCATGAACGTCCTCGCCCGCAATCTCGAGCCTGTCGATCGTTCCGGCAACCTGACAGGGAGCTGTGAAGTACGTCCCCTCGCACACCACCAACTTCACCCCTCGACCTAACAACTCCAACGGCACGCTCCTCATCGGCAGCTCCTCTCCCGACATCCACTGCTCCCGCGGGCCAGGAGCGGCGACGGGAGGCGGAGCCAGCGCTGGCCTCCTCAGGGCACCCCTGCCCCGCACAACTGCCATGGCTGCCTTTGGTTTGGCCAGGGCCTTCACACGGCCTTTGGCCTTTGGCTTTGCTTTGGGTGGCATTGCTCTGGCTAGCGGCGCCAGTAATAGCCTCGTTCACGATGTTTGACTCCTTTGGTGCCCCGCGGGCGGCGATAGATGGGTGGAGATGGCTTTCTCCGCGGGCTCCTACGCGGGCCCCTGGAACTGGATCCTCGTAAGTGAGGTGGTGGATGATCAGGTTCAACTGGTCCCCTCCTCTCGGGCGCTGGGGGTGGCAATGGCAACCGTGCAAGGTGTGCTGCAACACTTCCCTTTGGAATTGGTGAAAGTCCAAGGAAAGCTGGGTTGGTGTCAACAAGTCCTGACCAGTCAGCTTCTCCTGAAGCCTGCTTGTCCTCAGTGGGCTCGTCGGCGACCTTCTCCTCTTTTGTCTTCTCTTTGCCTTCGCGAGCTCTCCTCTTCCGCTTCTTGTCTCCTCCGGAGCTCCCAGCGGCTGACTTGTGCTTGCGTTTCTTCTTCTTTTTGACTTCTTCTTTTTCAGCCACAGCCTTCTCCTCACCAGCTGCTTCCTTAGCTGTAGTTGATGCCTCCTTTGCACCGCCGTCCTGACCGTCAACCACGATCTCCGCGACCGACTCTTTCGCCTCGTCCGCCTCACTCTCAACCTTCACGCCACCGACCGTAGGAGCGGGCCTCGCTCCCGATTCAGGTCCAACAAGTCGCAATGCAGGCAGAGGCTCCAAGGTGCTGTAATGCCTCGGCTCGTCCGGCACGCCAGGTGGATTCGCTGCCCTCCGCTCTGCTGCAAGGATGGGAGCGGCTTCCTCAGCCAAATCCAAGAGTCCTCCGGCGGCCTCTCGCAACACCCGGACTGCCTCAGACTCCTGGGATTTGAGGATCAATCCGCCTTCAACCACCTCTCTGAGCCTCTGGATCGTGCGACACGGGAGGCAGAACGGGCCTGTCTTGTCGAACAAGCCACAGCGAGTGCAAGTCATGCACCGAGCTTGAACCACAACACTACGGAACAGCGGAAATGAGATGCATCTTAACTTACGGGGACGAAAGTACATATATACATATTATACATATATTATGACGTACTAATTTGGTATCTCCTGTAACCCTTTGATTCCTTTTCTGCACCAAGATTTCCTCGAAACCTCTCTACAGGGACACAAACATAGTACATTAGTGTAAATAGACTCGTGAACCACCTAGCATTGTGAAACTACACAAATTATATATAGAGTATCCACGACTTTGAGAACCATTGGACAGCCTTCTGCATTTGGGGTACGGCCGTTGCCCTCCAAGTGTCATACAAGGAGATCGCCTTGCGCGTGGCCGCCTTCCGGTCTTCCCGTTCCTCCTCACTGACCTTGCTGACAGGGAACCGCGGATGGCCATGGGCTTCAGTGGTGTCTTCCGCACCGAAACAAAATCAACAACAACCGAGACCGAAACGCCACGAGATTTGATTGGCACCTCTGAAAAGACCGCGCATAGAGTCTTGACGTCCACGTTGAGAGGGATGCAAAAAACGGTGAAGAGAGGGATCAAGAGGATCAAAGAGGGTCAGATTGTGTGGGATTGCACCTGATTGGAGCCATATGGATCATATGGCCTCACTCAATGGCGAATCACCTCTGGACCTTTGGACGGACGCCTTTCCACAAGAGGGACGGACCATATGGACCATAATCCTTTCCTATCCCAGCCGAAGAGGCTACCCCACCTCGAGGGGAAAGGAGAGGCATTTCCAAGGCTTGGATGAGACGAAATCAGCGTCTTCTATCACCCAAGACGTTCGTTGCGGCATTTGGCAGGTGAAGAGACTGACCCAGGAGCATGGAGATCTTCCTGCCCCCTAGGCCCTAGACGCCCTGGTTGTGAAAACACCAACTTCATAGATCCCTGGAATTCCATGAGGAAACTCCACTTCGGGCGCCTCTCCATCATCGATCTCTCTCTTCCGGGCAATGGCACCGTTGGTCTCCTGAGCGGCGACTGGCATCGACTGGCCACCACATGGCATTGGTAGTTACAGCCCTGCAAAAGTAGTAAAACGATGTAAGCACGTGTTCTTATCTCCTTGTGGGGCCAGCTACCTTCAAGTGCAGAGGAGTGCCTTTCGGCTTCAAAAGCATGAGCAATCCCAACTCCAAACTCGATCAGGTTTTGCAAGGACCGCCTGCCGTGACCTTCGGATGCCTTCGGTCCATCTCCCTTGACTTGTCGATTCGACCCGATTCATCGATCGTCACCGGAGGTCGACCACCTGTCTTCCTTCCTTCAGACCTCCCCGTCGTTCACTATGGCCGAGCCCACACGTGTCGCCCGATTCGAAAGGATTGGCCATGCGTCCATGTAGGCATGGGCCAGGTTGATGTATGTCGAAGCGTTCTCAGACATTGATTTATGTTGCAGGACCTGGGGGCATTTGCAAAAGACTCGAAATCCGAAAGGCAAGACTTTTCAGCAAACTCACGTCTTCCAAGTCAAAGGTCTTGCTAGACACAAGGCTAGGACACCACCAGAGTCAGTACAGCAATGATGCCTTGCAGTGTCAGAATTTGGTCCATTGCCAATGGCTGCAAAATGCTACAAGTCTTGCAGGTATCCTAGACTGTAGACTACTGACTACAGTTGTACTTTGAGGGTATATAGCCTACATAGCTCAAAAGTAGGGTGCCCACACAACCCTTTCCTGGAACACACAAAGAGCCACATCCAAGTGAAAGATCGCCAGGCTCTGTTGAACACAAGCTTCCGAAGCAGTATCTGAAATCTCTCTCACTAGACTAGATTGGAAGTCCATGATTTCCAGACATGCTGTGCCACACGTTATCAAGCTGGAAGTTCACGAATCCTGCCTGCCCATGAAACAAGTTCAATCCATGTTTTCCGGAACTACCATGAGAAATCCATCCAAATTCCGGACGCCAGGGCACCGACTGGAAGATCGTCTTGGCCAAATTTGCCTTGCCACGTCGCGCGAAGACCATACCAATTCCGTTGGCTGCAGAAGGGCAGTCGTGCCTCACCCGCGCGGTTGCCGGGTTCGCTGGGTTCGCCTGAATCTTGAGGCTTTTCATGTTGGCTCTTCGCAGTCCTTGCATTTTCACCAAAAAAGACACACGGCTTTTAAGGCACCATAGGTTCACATACTTGAAGCCTCGCTTTGTCTCTTTTTACACATGTGTGGTTTGTGAATATTTTTCTCTATAGAGCCACTTGAGCGAACATGAGCGCTGCTCGCAAGTCCGCTCTCCGGAAGGGACTTTCTACGATTTCTAGTGGAGATCCTGACAACTCTCACCGGACAGGGCGACTTGGCAAAGCTGGCAAACTCACGCCAAGGGGGTGACGGAGCTCCGTGATTGTGGGATCCCACCCACCCCTCTTGGGCTCCCCCAAAAAGGGCGAGCAACTCCAAACTCCAAACCACCTCGGCTTCAGGAATTGTCCACCTTTTCTCCGAGAATCTGGTTTTCAAGTGCCTTCACATAAGACTCCATCGCTTTGAGGAGGAAGCCATCCTGTTTGGGAACAAACGAGACGAGACCTGTTTGGGAACAAACGAGACACAGGAAGCCGAGGCGAGCAGTTGTTTGATGCTTTTTGCGGGACGTCTCTTGTCCAACCAACCCTCACAAGACAAAGGAGCCAGTGCACTCAGAGAAAAATGGAAATGTTTTTTGCGGAGAGCAAAAATTGATGGGGCAAGTCGTGAGAGCCATAATTCGTGAGGCTGTGATGTTCGTTTCCGATTGCGAAATGATCGGTCCAAGAGCCGTTTTGGCTGTCCAGCCGGGAAAAACATGAAACATCTTCCCCATTCCAGGGGATTCACTCAATTCGGGAAAATCACCCGAAAACTGCCAAACCAGGTGAGTCATGGGGAAGAGCCCGTCCAATCGTGGAAACCGCTCCCCAGATCTGGTCCTTTGAAGGAGCCGTGGCTTTGGTGGAAAGTCGGGTGGCTTGGGCCTTCAATCGCTTTAACCGCTCCAGTTGTATATACTTGTTGACTGACACATGATTCCTTTTGAGTCTGGTTGACTCCACATGATTCTCAGCTGCAGTTGGTTCACTAGTTTGGGGGACGGGGGATGGTCAAACCTTGCTGATGCCCTGGAATGTTCAGCATCCTGTCCAGCCCTACCTCAAAGCAGCAAGGAGCTGCCAAACATCATCCTGGAAACTTCCCTAGACCATGGCAAGTACCTGTACTCAAGTAAATAAAGAAATATATTATATATACAAACAGGATCAAACAGGGGTCCAGGATGGTCCAGGTATGTTGAGTCCGGCCAATAATTGCTATGTAATGCACCTATGAAGACATGACCGACACCCCCTTTCCCGTTAGAATCCTGCAAAGGATTATGGCGGAACTCCAACAAAGATGTTTCCACCCCGAAGTAAGCTTCTTGTGATTTATGTATATAGTTTGGGTGGACACTCCTCAGCCGGAATTCTATTGGGAAGGAGAGGTCTCATCAGATTCTGGAGAGGAAGTGGCTACGCAAACTTTCGTCCTCCCGACGGATGACCCAACAATCTCCCACATATTTGGCTTGTCTTTTCACACATTTAGCTCTGGCTTTCATTTCAGGGCATCTTCCAAACCCAGACTTCCTGGGCCATGACCCACAGCCATTGCTCTGGTGGGAAAGCCGACCTTGTCTTTGGCCAAGGTCTTGTCGTAACCGGAGGCCTCAAAGTACCTTACGCCAAGTTGCACTGGATTGGAGGCATCAGCAAGTTATATCATAGTGACCCCGATAAGAGATAAATGCTTCAATCCATGTATTGCAAGGTGCTCCTGTATATATTTTGAGACCTGTAGAGAACGTGTTAAGAACACACCCACCAACAGTGGCTGAATGTTCAGAGACCCGGACATTTTACAAACATTTCGAAGATGTTTGTTTTATATGAGCGACGTGCAAAACCTCTTATGTGTTGTGGTGTGCACTCTTCCCAACGTTATCGTTTTTCTGTGAACCTTATCGTTCCTGAGGGTTTGGACACACCTAACAACATGTATTATATATAAAACCTTATCGTTTTACCTAGGTTTCCTTCACTTTACTTACTTACTTAGTCTTCACAGTAGTGATGCTGCCTTGGTCTGAGGTTTTGGCAGTTGGAAATGGTATTCCAGGTCCAAGTCTCCAATGCGTATGCAGGTTTACTCACTTCAGCTCCAGGGCACAAATTTCCCAAGAACACCAATGCGTAATGCTCCTCCTTGGAGTTGGCGGTGGCCACGGCCTTCTCTGCCCAGCGCACCGCTTCTGAGAAGTGTCCTAATGCAAACACAAACAGCGTCGCGGTGGCGGTCCGAAACAGAATGGAGCATCTTTAAAGCAACAAGACCCCACAGAGGACTTCTGGGAACAGAATTGAAGTAGATGATTTCACCCATATGACAACTGTGGAGTGGTGTGGTTGGCCTGTGATGCAAGTAGATGGCAAGTGTGTATGATCACCGAACAAAAAGAACCTGCAGGTGAAGTTGAGCTTCTTTGTCAGGCCATGTCAGGCCCGATTGTGGCGGGGGGTCAGGTGTGATGTGCCAGCTAACGGCTAACGGTTTTTGAATGTACCTCATGGTTGGAAGGTCTGGGGTGCCAGCAGTGTGCTTTGCTGGCACAATTTCTGTTCTATACACTGTAACAGTGGGCCTTTGCTGCTTCTGTGTATACTTGCAGGCTTTTGCGTCCAAAGTTCAAACGGAAGAATATGATGAAGAGTCTCATACTTGGCAAGAAAAGCCGGACTTTCTAATTTCCTCCCCAACAAAACACCGCTAAATCGTTTACTGGTCGACCGGTCGCCTGCTTCCCGAAGCGCTTCGGCGCAGTGCAATTGAGCCTGGCGACAGGGATCGGTCGAGCGGATGTGACTCCGGGCCGGCCTGTCTCGCATCTTCAGATGACCGGTGACTAAGCATCGCTCGGTGCACCGCAATGACAAACAGGTCAACCCATGTCAGTCATCACTGCCTGAAAGCAATTGGAATCCATGGCCATGCGAAACGTGGCCATGGCTTGGTCGAGCATCCCCAGGTTCTGCCACTGCTTCCCCAGGCGCAAAATGGCGTCGGCAAACCAGGGATTCTCCTACCGCTCGATCGGCGTTCAGCCGGTTGGCGTTCTTCGCACGGGGAACAGCGAGGCACTCGCAAAAACGTCCCTCCAAATCCCTTAAACAAAAACACACAAAAGGGGGGAGTTGTGTTTTAAGGGTCCGCACCCTAGCTCATCCCCTTAACTGCAGGGGTGGGGGAGTTTACCCAACTTAGGATGAGTTCTTGTTGACATGTTCTCGTGGTCTGTGAAGATCTTCGGAGCATTGGACTCCAAGGTGCCACAGCAATCCACAACGACTATGGCGCTTCTTCATTTCCCCAGAGGGCCCAACCACCTTCCGTTTTCCTTTCGAAACCCTGCAACACCACACACACACACACTAAAGGTACACCGCAACAGGGGAAGTGGGAGAATACTCCATAGACGATCTGTCAAGGAGTCTTCCAAGAGGCCCTTTTCACTTTTCATTCCTTTTTCCTTCTTCTTGTCCAGCTCACCCTCTCTCAAAACCGCGTGCCCCTCCTCGGTCAAGGAGGTGTAGAGGGACATAGCCTCTGCTAGCTCTGGATCATTCCTGATTGGTGAGTCGTCAACCATACCCGAAAAATTACTGAGTCACTTGGGGCGTCAACGTTCTCGTAGGATCATAGGCTATATAGGCTATGCCTTGATCAGCATGCACGTTTGTGGATTGAAATGGTCAACGGAGCTCAGGGATAGGAAAAGACATGAAACAACTAAAAATATTCCGAAGCACCACCTAGATTCGGATGGGTCTCTGCCAGCCAGGCCTGGTTGAATTTCAGGGTGCGCTTGGCAATCTCCAACTCCTCTGGACCGGATGAGATCTCGGGTGGATCGGTGGATGCTGATGGACCTGCCATACTCCACAGGATGGTGGTGTACGGACTTGCTACTAATTAGTAGCTTCTTGATGCTTCTTGTTACTAGTAGCGATGGCCTCCAACCTACTTGCGCTGGCCTCCACCTAATAGCGTCCTCGTCAGGAATCAAGGAATGCATCCAAAGGAATCTATAGTGGGGGGCGAAGCTCCTCCGGAGTCCCGCTTATTAAGTACCATTCAGAATTGTCAGACCACGACCTCACACCGAAAAAACAAACGAAAGAAAAACATATGATATATACAATATGAATCTGAATCAATATGATATCTATTTGCAAAGCAACCACCCAGAAAGTCTAAAAACAATCGATCGGCCATGCTCACTCTCATTCTCACTCTCTCTCTCTCTCTCACTCTCTCTCTCTCTCACTCACTCACTCACTCACTCACTCACTCTCTCACTCACTCACTCACTCTCTCACTCACTCACTCACTCACTCACTCTCTCTCTCTCTCTTGGTGCTGAGACAACCAGCATCGCAACATATCGTAACACTACAGTTTGCAGAAAGAAGATTGAGAAGGGAGATGCGTAGAGGGGTTTCAAAGAGCTCCAGGTTCAAGTGTTCTCCACTTTGATTTTGTCCGGGTCTATGCATCCGACTCACACACCACACGGATATCCATGGCCGAGGTGAGGGATGAACATCACAAAACTGGAGGACTGGTCAATGGACGAGTTATGACTCAGTTATGACTATATACTTGACCCCCTCCTGGGCTTTGAACAGGTACATGGCAAATACATCCCCGTTGCTACCGACTACTGAGGTTCACCCCCTTATGTTATTTACGAATTGGTCATCCAAAATGACTGGTAACCTGTGCATCTCATTTGTTATTCAAAAAGTGCAAAAAGAAAACCACTTTCTGTCGTGACTGGCTAATTTGACTGTGCAAAGAGTTCATCCATGTCATCCATTTTACTTAAGACCCATCCAAATAAAAACTAAATAAGTCAAATAAACTAGGTATTCCGTGGTTGACCACACTCATTCTAGATAGCCGGTAGCAACGTGGATGCGTTCAGATGGCGTCACCCCGATCGCTTCGACCGTTTGACCAAACGAAAAGCACCCGGGGCACCTGCTGAGACCGATGGACGGCGCCATCGCGGGTCTCCGGTCTCACAATTCGGATTTCCTCTGGAATCCTATGTCTTCCTAGTCTTCCTACCAGTACAGCAGGGGGGTGTGACAGCAAGATGTGTGGGGATTTAGGCTTGCATGGTCCTGGTAGTGAGTTGTTTCGGGTGTAATCTGCTACCATTCGCTCCTTGATCTCCTTCTGACTGCTGCTTCGCAGGAGTCGCAGCTCGACCAAACGGATGCCCCGCTCGTAGGCTTGCTTCGCGATGGAGGGGTCACCTAGGCCCAGAAAGAACTTGACAAGTACATGTTCAAACATGCATACAATGTATGATGTAGTGTACAAAAACATATAATGATATAACTAATGATATTATACCTGTAACACTACCGGTAACATACCTATTTACAGTCTCTACACACACAAATAAGTACAGGATAGTACAGGTATATAAGTGCCATAGACGTTGTGCTCATCTGGACATGTGATTGTGCATGGATACAGGATACACATATGGTAAAAATCCATCCCTATGAGTCCGGTTGGATGGCATCATTTCCCTGCCAATTCCTGCCAGGAAAACAGCGGTCGCTGCACATGATATTGACTTCACTTGACGCTACGCCGCGATGCTGAAATCCAAAGTTCAAAGTGATCAATGCAACCAGAGAGAAACACATCGCTTTGGACGGAGAGAAACGAAACACACCACCGGAACGCATCCAAACACTAGGTTTTGACATGTTCAGGGCTTTGTCGGTCATGGCGCCATGATCTAGGTAAACACACACAAACCACCGAAGGGGTTGAACAAGTGAAGGTGGGTTAAATGATGTTCACCCCACGCACTCACCCACTCGCTGCTAACCCAGCTCCGTGGTGCCATAGGAGGCCAACACCGTGCCCATGTTGTTCCAAAGCTCCAGCGTCGCGTGCTCCGCCATTTTTGGGTCTTGCAAGAGCTGGTGGATGTGCTCATAGGCTTCCACCGCCTCCTGAACGGCAAACACATCGTTCGACGGCGGAAGGGGCGAAAAGGAGGGAACATGAAGCTGTTTCGTTACAACGTTGACCGTTCACCCTGCTCCCTTCATCAGGAGCTTCTTCAGCTTGTCTTCACTACAGCACATTTTGTCACTGATGATCCGTGCAAGTTCAGTCACCTCTTTCCCTTCCCTCCCCCGGGAGTATACTTTTATTGTCGTCGTATATTATGCTGCCACCGCAGCAATTCGGCTGAGTTGGTTGGCAGGGCAAGTCAGCACAACCAACGTGGCATGCAAAAAGATCTTCAGCGACTTCATTAGCTGCTTGTTTTGCGGAAAGAGACAGAGAGGCAAACCAAAGGATCATGACTAGAGCCTGCGACTACATGCACCAAAGCTGAGAAGGTCCCGCTTGCCAAAAGAGTGTCGGCTTCACCGAATGGCTCCGAAGCTGAAGCCAAGTCATTCAACGGAATGGTCATTTTGCCTGGCCCAAACTGGCTGTAATGGCACCCAACCACCCACGGCCACGGGGTCCCAGTGATGTTCCTCAAAGACTCGCGAGCGAGAAGAATGACTCTGCTACCCACCCTGCCCTCCAGGAATGTCTGAAAGTCCCAAACGTCCCACGCACGCATCCTCCAAGTGGCGCAGAAACGCGAGAAGACTACAAACCGCTCCTGTGGATTCACCCGCGTCTGGGCCTCTGCCTTCATGAGCCAGGCATCCAGATCAGGCGCCAATTCTACCAGTTTGCTGGCCATCGTGCAGGCCTGATGTGAATCTGGATGCTGAGCCGATCGATGAGCACAAAATCCACCTGGACATGAAATGATAGAAGCAAGTTGCACACCAACAAACAAAAGATGGGCTTGATTTGGTAGATTCGTCTTATGTGCTCACTCTTGTCGACATTGGAAGGAATCCTGCAAATGTTTTTTTTTTTTTTTAATATCCATAATTGGGCGGTGCAAACTTCTGAAGCCTCAATCACACTTTCCTATTGTTGTCTTTTAGAACTTAATCACCCTGCAAACCGTGGTCAAATGCCTTTCTCCATCGAGACCTTTTGAGCAAATGACCGGGCACTGTTGGGATCAGAACCAGAAATCCAACCCTCATTGGTTGCACAAGCCGGTGACCATTTCGATGAAGTTAGCCTAAATGCAAACAGAACACCCGCCATGACCGCCCCCGCCGTCGGCCTTGCTGTTGTGCTCATTCGTAGCCAAATAGGCAGCTGTGAGCAGCTTCATCACCTCGCCAGCTTTTTGGATGCTTACTGGTCGAGCTCTCTGTCAACTTTCTCTATTATTCCTTTGGACTGAACATTGTTAAGGACTATATAAATAAGAACGCACAAGGTCCCTCCCAGGATGTCTTGGGAATTTCCAGGCCAGGCTGAAGCACAAAGTAACCCTGACATAGCTTTCTGGAAGATGGTCGGTAGCTCATTCTGGATGGAGACGAAACCTCCAGGTGCTGGGTCACTACCCAATGTTTCTACCCTCGTGCCCATGGAGGGCTTCACCACATCATACAACATGTGAAACTCCGGCAGAGCCCTTGAAGCAAAACGCAGCCTTGGTGTTGGCCCTAATTATATGACCCTTCATTCTCCAACCAACAGTATGCCAACCATCACGAGGTTTGAAGTGCGTTAGAGTTCAACCAAGTCCAATCAGCCTGAGAAGTGCATTTGTAGGGGATTCTGGATGAACACTTGCGCGTACCGTGGAGATGGGCCTTGTGTCCATGGTCCTTAAAAACCTCTGAATACGTCACATAACGCATCTTTAGCCTTGAAGAGACGAGACAAAAGAGAGGAATGGCACCCAGAATAAGAGGCTTCAATAAAGGTCCACGTCCCTTCTCTTGTTTCATCTCAGTAAGGCTATTCTTACACTCCTTTCCAATCTGTTAACATCGCTCAAAGCCTTCCCTCACCAGCCTCAGGCTCGTTCTGCACCTGGCGTCTTTACGACGCAGCTGGATGACTCGGTGCACTCTGTAGGTTGGGATCTTTGGCCATCGACTCAACGCCTAAGACTTAAGGGGGAGGCCATCGCTAGGTTGCAGGCCATCGCTTCTAGGTTGGATCTTTGGAGGCCATCGCTTCTATGTTGGATCAACTATAGCAACTCCATGCAAATCCTGATGAACCAGGTGTGGGACCTGGGAACTCCCGAGACACCCTGTGCGGTGTTGAGTCAACAAACGCGCGAACGCAAGCACCGGTTGGTGTTCCCAAAACGGATGGTCTGGCCGACCTCCTTTGGCGTCTTTTCTAAGAGCTTGATGGTGCCAGAGTAGAAGCGCTGCTCCATGTAGCATTGTGCTAAGGCATAAACCGCTGCTAAGTGCTTGGGCATTATGTCAATGCATCCTTGAGCGATCGGGTCATGTGATGGTCATGTTGGCTCAACAAATGGAACTTACATAAGTTTCCCTAACAATCTCGGAACCCAATGGATAGTGCGAACGCTTTTCAAGGAAGCTCCCCCAGCCCTCAGGAGGGGAAGCTTCCTTGAAGAAGCGTGAGCTATCCTGCGTCCATATGTGGTAGCGTCCTGTACCTACTAGCCACCTGAGTTCCTTGCTTACTTAATCTTAATTATAAGTAGTAGGTGCCTACTTAATTGAGTAGGGAGGGGGGAGAGCGAGCGGGCAAATACAAAAAAAGGTTAAAACTCTCAGGACAGGCATGTGGAGAGCGCATTTCGTTCTCTATCCCTTGGAGTTTTAAACCGTGAATTTGGAAATTGAAGTTTGGGAGGTCAAAAACTCTCAAACTTCACACATATTTCTTGGACCTGAGTCCTGCTGCGCGTGGGCAGGACATGAAGACATATTTGGCATATTTCTTCTGCAGCTGCATTCGGACATTGATCCAAACTACTAGGCAATACTATCAATACTACATATTGTTGTACTTCTTGCAATTATATATATATATAATCCCTTTCTCTGCATGTTCCTTACCTGATAACAATTTGCGGTCCCTTCCTGGTGACTCGGAAGTTTATTCTTACGCTCACTCTACGACGAACATCAGCACAAATCGTTGTTAGCGAGCCATCTCAAGCACAAGACCATAGCAGCACATACACTCACACACACAAACGTTGGTTTGTTGAAATGTCACTGCATTGTGCGGAAGCAAGAGAACTATTCGCTGGGCCACCACATCATCACTGGGGTGGGCAGGACTTGCCCCTCCCGAGGCCCTGAGGTAGCTTTAGTGAAAGCAACACTGCCTGCTTCTTGGCTTTTTGAAGGCCTTTGAATGAGTCACACAAACGAGTCCTGCCTTAGCAGCAGTCTGGAGTTTGCCAAAACAAAAGTTGAACCTTGCTTCAACAGCGTTCCCCAACAAATCCAAATGCTAGCCCCCCCGGACATGCTGAAGTTTGCTCAAAGCTCCACCCTCAATCTATCAATGGCTAAGAATCGCTTGTGCTCGTCCATGGCAATGGCGAAGTGTCCTCCAGTCTTCCAAAATGGCAGCTCTTTTGATATTTTGGAAAAAAGGCCCCAAGCAGGTATATAAAACCTACAGTCACAGGGTCGGTGTTGTTTCAGAAAACTATACAATATTACAACACCCCTTTCCCAAAACATCCAAAACAGCCCACCATCAACTACTGATCAAGGGCATCTCTGTCCTCTACTGTTTTGGGCCATATCTTCCATGCCTGTGTTAAGCACTGAATTTCCCTAGAGATAGGGGCCATCCCACGGCAACTCATGACTTCACCCCGGAAGCGGAGGGTGCGTCTTTGGCAGCTGCTTTTGGCTGTTGGGATCGTCATCGGCTTGGGGCACCTGGGATGCCAACCGCCACAAAGAGTTCGGGTCAGAGTCCACTTCGGCACGACAATCGATTTCCCCAGTTCATTGGGGCTTCCACTAGGTGGAACGTGTTGTTTTTGATATGTTTTTTGAACATGGTGGTGCAATACCATCCTATGCATAAGAACAAAGATTCCGACCGATCCTCTAGCCGCGCAATGCAATGAACGTTTCCTTTGACCTTCTTGTCCACACGCCAGGCAGGTCCTCGAGCATGTGCCAGGCGCCCTCGCTGGTAGTGCACCTCTGCACGAAGCTGCTTGGACTTGGTTTCGAAGGCCTGGGCTCTGAGCATCCCTGAGCCAGGTTGTCTGTCACATTTTCTGAAAAGCAGTGACTGGGCCCAGTGACGAAAACCTTCGTCGTGCTGCATCTGAAGGGGGACTCAAACACTAATGCAGAAACACCTTTTTCGAGGGCCATGGGTCTCTTTTTTGGGGTGCCGTGGATCGCATCTCATGAAGTCTTTTGTCTTCCAAGAACCAAATTGCAGTTGAGCCACTCGATCAAGGAGATCGCTGGCCATTTTCCATTCTTCAGGGTCACCACCGTGCACCTTCTGGGCCTCAAGGCCACAGAAGAAGGCGTGGTTGGCGGCCTGACGTGGCAGTTCCCGCGAAAAGGGATGATTGGCACGGGGGGCTTGGTCGGTCGGAGAAGTGTGGATAAGAATCCGTATGGCCGTATGGGCACAAGAAGTTGGCCCTTGCATTCGATCTTCTGTTGTTTCCAGATTTGGTCCTCAAAGGGATGACAGATTTTCGCCATACCACTGCAGATTTGTCCCATTTCTAGGCTTCGACTCAGCCACTGAACCTCGAGCTTATAGCGATACAACCTGGGACTGCAACTCCTTCAGTACAGTAATTTATTTTTGTGGAACTTCCACGTCCACCCCAGCACGCAAACACGACGTGCAGAATTGTGGAAGGACACGCGGAATCCCTCCTTTCGAACGGAGAAATATGATATATGACTCTCATGAGTCTCATGTGATTCCTGAAATTACGGTTAGACACGCACTGATCCACACCAATCACAAATCCTTCCCTTCAAGCCGCCCTAGAAGCCATCGGATTGGTGCAGGATCCATTAATTGTGGAATGTCAAAGGGGCTTAAACGAATCCACTTCCCGTGAAGTCAACGCACTGCATGGGCACAAGGCTTCAGCGAGAAGTCAACGCATTCGTCTGAAGTCGACGCATTTTCATCAAAAGCACAATGGGCAGAAAAACCTCAATTCATTGTTTCATATTGTTTCATGATGTTTCAATCCCAAACCTCAAGTCATCGTGGTGTTCAATGGAAACTGACCAATCCGCTAGCCATTCAACTGGTGAAATTTAGCATGAAATTTGGGCCCCGTACAGGCCCCCGGCGACCCCCGCCACAGATCGACCATCAAAACCGACGGTCAACGTGTCAACGTCGCTGCACACACTTGAGGACTGCGATCGTCCATCCTACTTGGACCTACCACAGCCAGGATTTTGACCCAACATGTGTATAGATGTGTGACATCTGGAAAACAGGAAGGAACATGAAGGAACAGTGGAGCCCAATGATCATCTGTGAATCAAAGCACAACGGGCTTATGACCAAAACATCCGTCATAGAGCAGTGCAATCTATGCTTAGCATCCCTGTGAAATGCTAGTTTGCGTGGGCACAAGATTCCGGGTCCACTTTACAGTCTGCATTTGACATCTATATACCCCACAAGCAGTCCACCAAGGGCACACACTTCTCTACAAACTAGACTTACTGTAACACATCTGTGGAATGCAGTTCCCATGGGGCACAATGTTTTGAGGCAACTTAACCCCACTACCAAGTATAGATTGAATGCCCAATGACCTGATGTCCGTGCATTTCTCGCTTGATCCCACAAGCTGGCGCCTGGCAATAGACCATGAGATTGTCTGGCCCAGCTTGCCTTAGATGCTGGCTTTCAGTATATACTAGATAGTATTAGTAGTGGCATGTGAAATGCACTTGGAGCCAACCACATATGGGTGTAAGCCCGCACACCTTTTTGTGCACTCCCCAAAATTTGCTCATCAACCTGAAGTTGGACCAACCTATACGCACTATACGCACTAGCAAGCCAGCCAGCAAACACTCACACACACACACACACTCACGTGGCCCAGTTGCATGGCCCGGCGAAGGTATTCGGAGGCTTGTTGCTGTTGACCATTTTGCTGGGCCAAGAAGGCTAAGCCACACAAGGCATCCGCATCCTCCTCCATGGCAATCACACCAAGCAAGGCCTTCCCCGCTCGCGTTGCGCGAGGAGTCTGCAGAAACACTTTAAAACAACATCCCGCAGAAGGTGGGCATCTTGAATGGTGTGGCTTCTGCTTCAATTGTGAAGAAACAAGGGAACTCAACTCTGTTTGGAAATCAGCTAGCCAATCTGCTCTTGTTGAGACAGCTCTACAGAAAGAGAAACAACACTTGCACAGCTGTTGGACAGGTTGTGATCTTCCTGAACCTGACATTGGCTTTGACTATCGCTGCAGTGCTACTCAGTTGAGCAACACAGGTACTCCAGGATCTTCCATCAGGTGTATTGGAGGAGAAATCTTGTCAGAGCGCGAAGGCTCCTCTGCAACCACAGCAAGCATCCACTGAGGAGATCAGCTGACCTCGCCTTCTTGGCCTTTTCCTTCCGCCCCAGGCCTGGCAGGGATCAATGCTCCAAGGACCCTGATATGTAGGGTGCTTTGGAGTTAATCCCAGCCCATGAACCAATGCTTGTGAATTCTGGTCTCTCCATGAGTGAAGGAACCTTGAACATCTGGCGACTTGGGAACTCTTCAGCATGTCTGTAACCGCGCACACACACAATGCCCATACCTTACATAAGTCAAAGCACGTCAGTTCCAGCAGGGGTCATTCAAAACATGATGGACCAATGACAGGCCCGACGGTAACCTTGCACTCTGTGACAACAGCCGAAGGTGAGTCCCTTTTCACTGGGAAGATTAAACTCCCATTCTTGTGAACTTCAACACCGCACCCTTGCACTCCTACGACTCGGGCAAGGCCGTCTTAAGATCCCTTTGCTGGGATTTTCTAGATGCATAAGTGCTACATGTTTGCTCAATTGACTCATCCCCTTCCTTCCTCTGTTCTCCGGGTCGTGACGGAGTCGTCACCCGATCCAGCCTGCGAAGCACAAGGCCAAGGCAAAGCGCAGATTCTTCAAAGCACGCTTTTGGACCTACAGGAAGGTCGGCTTTGGGCGCACAAGTTGACAACCATGCAAGTGTTACCCTCATTTGCCCGCTGACAGGAAGCGTCAAAGGTCGTTCGAGTTTGGGTGGCCGCCCTTGGCCTCGAAACCTGGGGATTTGATTCCCGAACACCTCCGACGAGGGATATATAAACAAATACAAGCATATATATATATATAATGATGTAAGATCTATATTCTATATAAATCTATAACACGTTATATATATACACAGTCTGAATAACATTACATCCTCCTCCTGCAAGTGGTTCACCATTTGCTTGATGTGGGGTTCTCCCCCTTGAGCACCCCGAATCAGTTTGCAAAGAGTGGCTTGGGAGGTCAACATGTTAACGGTATCAGTGAAAATCAGGTGATGAGTCGATGTGGTGTCTACCGTCTGCGGTGGGCTTGCACCTCGCCGGCGCCTTTCTGCGGTGCGGCACGCATGAGCACCTGGTGTGGCACGCACGGCCACCGGAGTAAGAGTGACCGGTTAAACACTCAAATACAGTTTCAGGGACCAAGAATAGACTGCACACATCTGTAGACTGATGAAAAAAACACTCCCTATCCCTAACATAGCTCTTTTTGTGTACATCTCTATCTGGGTGGGTGTATGAATCAACATGAATCAATGGTCAACAAGTTTGAGTTCGGGAGTATCATTGAGCTTTGTCCTTTTGCACACGGAATAGATTTGCAACACATGATATAATTACATCTTCTCACGAGTGAAGAAATACACCTACTTAAGAGCGCAAAGTCGACCTGGAGGTAAAAGCATGATCACATCCAGCAAATGAAGTGGAATCCTAAAGCAAACATCAGAATCTCCGAAATGATTAATTACCACCTTCAGCATCCGTCGACCAAACTCAAAACTTGCGCCCAGGAATCTTGAAGAGACTCCCATTGAAAGCGACAAGCAGGGACCCCTCCTCCCGGAAGGAGATCAAGGCTTGCTGCCAATCGCCCCTGGAGGCTGCCAGAACCGCATGCCCGAAGCGGGCGCGCGGAGAAGATTTGTTGAAACTCCTGAGATGGCGTGGGGGAACCATGTTTTGCAGGTCCAACAAAGTCCAACCGTCTAAAAAGAGTTTCTGGTGTTTTTGTTGTTGCCTATCTGGGGTGTTCTCCAGCTTCAAAGATGTCTCAACCCAAGTTGAAAACAAACTGAGGTCCTTTGTCCGGCAGGTGGGTATGGGAGTATGACATGGGTTCATCCAACGGAATTGTGACCCACACAAAGTTTCTGCGTTTTGTTCCAAAAAAACTGAACCTGGTCACTCTTGCTTCAACCGCCGTCCGGGAGCCGCACCCGGAGGCTTGGCTTGTGTCCAAGTCTCGGTTCATGGGTCTCTATTCTTGGGTCTTAGACCTCAACGACGCAATTACTAGGAATCCCAACCTCAAGGTTTGTCATCCCATTGGTCTATCACGTGTTTTCAAGATGTAAAGCAATGTAAAGCACATGTTTCCGGAGACGAACCAAACAAAGCTCCAAGCCCATCATCCCAGCATTCAGCCCAATGTCAGTGCAGCATTGAAGAGGTACTCAGCCCTCTGAAGTACATTGGCTCCACCTGCTTCGCCATTCCGCGAGTCTTGCAGGGTGTAGCTTGTCAGAGCATGGAAGCCACGCAAGAGCAATGACTCGAAGCCTTAGCGAAGCTGGGCCACCCAAAAACATCTGCAAACGGCGGGCCACATGGAACATGCACCCTCATATTACATCATGCTTGCCTCCCCCCAAAACAATTGCATGAGAGAATGGTTGGCTTCAAAGAAGTGGGGGTACAGTAAGGCAAACATGCTTGACACGTGGAATCACGTGGAAACCACCTGGTGCAAAGGTTGTAGACCTATTACAAGCCCTTCCATCTCAACCAGCTTGGCAAAACTCAGTTTGCAGTAGGACACCGCTCCTTATCTTGAATTTCTCGTGACTCGTGACCCAAATTTTTCATCCTATACCTTACCAGAATGACACATGACACTCATTCCCACCCGACCAAACATGGTGGATCATTGGGTCGGACCCCGGACAGAAACTAGGCGGGATACTGGTGAGACTGCGCACTCGGTGATGCCCCTCCGGCAAGGATCACAGTTTGTCACCTGACCTTGTGCAACCCAATTCCGGGGAAAAACCTCCACAGATCTCCACAGCACAGCAACCTACCCCAGTGGAATGGTCTATGCCCGAAAAACCCAAGGGCCTAGCAGGCTGTCCTGGCCGAAACAACACCCTACAGGGCACCTATATAGATAAACTTTGGAACGCTTTTGGGTCGGAACACTTCAAGTCCTAGTAGCCCGCCAAAGGTGCGGTGCTGGGACCAATTACGACATGTTACGACATATGACATGTACCCCAGGTGGTGCGACCACGTGACTCGGCTGCCTTTCGATCTCATCCACCCGTTGGAGGAGGGCGCCGGCACGGTTCAGGAGATCCTGGAGACTACATTTGAGGATCAAAGAGATTGGAACCGTGTTGAAGGAAAACATCTGGCACAAAAACATGTACGCATAAGAGGGTAATGACATGATATGACATGTATTCACTGTGCATGAGAGGGATTGCAATGAGAGGGATTCTTCAACAGCAGGACAATTGCCATGGTGGCCCTCATAAACCCAACCAACAAGGGTTGTCAAGACCGTGTGAAGTGCAGGAACCGTGCACAGTGCAATATGGAGCACAGATGAGCACAGGGGATTCCAGGTGTTGATGTTCATCTGTGTGTCTATGTGTGTATGTGTGTCTCACTGTCTCCAAAAAACACTGATTGAGGCAAAACAACACGCCGACTACGACTACAAAAATAAATTCCTTTGATCCAAAAGGGGCCGCCTGAGCCTCCTCAGCCTCTCGCCGGACGGCCTCGCTCAAAAGCTGTGCTGCCTCTTCTGCTAAGCGCAGTTCAGCCATGGCACACAATGCTATTCATAGGGATCTCTTGTGATGGTGTGAGTGTGACTATTTTAATTGATCTCGTTCTGCTCAGAAAGTGTGGCTAGTGGCACTGAATGGCATCCATGCGGTCCATGCATTGCAGCTTTTTCCCCGAACAAACCACGGTGCAACTTCAATCCAAATGCACTTAGTGCTTTGACTTCTTGGTCTTTTTGAGCTTCCCCTTTGAACTCTTGGATTCCTTTTTGGAACCCTTTGATGAATCCTTTTTGGATTCAGCAGCCGCACTTGGAATCCAAGCCTTTGAACCCTTTTTGGATTCAGCAACCGGACTTGGAATCGAACGCTTTGAATCCTTTTTGGATTCAGCAGTCGGACTTGGAATCGAACCCTTTGAGTCCTGACTCCCAACAACTTCAGCAGCCTTGCTTGGCTGGCTCAGGTACCCAGTATCCGAAGTGAAGTTCAATACAACCTCGGAAACATCAAGCGCACGCAGCATGCCAAACCTCTGTGACGGTGTGGAATTGCCATCGTTGAAGTAGTGAGCGATCAAGCCCTCACAGTCCCGCTTGACGACGTTGCCTGGGGCCCCACTTCCTTGTCCCTTTCGTTTCATCGGGAAATGAACCACACCTTGAATGTACTCCAGCTGCTCACGCATCAAGAAGATTCTGTTAATTTGACTCAACTGCTGCCTGACCCGGTTTGAGCGTATCCAATGTAGCAGCGTACTACATCATGTACGGAACGCAGGCTTCATAAACCATGCGCAAGCTGGTTTGCAAGTCACGGTCATGGAGCAGGCTTCTCACTAGTTCCATACTGTTTGCATGTTGCTCCCGAAGTTGATTCATCTCAGCCCTCGTCTGCGGCCTGTTCTTTTTCTGGCGATTCTTTGCAGGCTCAGCCGGCGCATCATCATCGTCGTCGCCTGACTCTTGGCCTGCATCAGAGCCACTGCCGGCGCCGGGTGCACGGCTATGAACACGCACATCCTCCTCCTCCTCCTGAGATTTCACGGGAATCTAGAATGAGGCCAAGCCCGCCCAACCCAAAGTTGTATTAGTTGGAAGTGCTCAGATGATTCTTACACGTACTGTTAACCCAGCAGCAGCTCAGCTCAGGCTCAGAGCTCAGAGCTCTTATAAACTGAACTTAACTCTCAGAGTCTGACTGAGTGACACTGTGACTCTGTCAGTCACTTAAGTACAACCAATCATTAGGAAAATGGTGGTCCCATTCATGATGAGAATCAAGTTGGTACAAATTGTGTCCATCACCTGTAATGCAGTGAGCCAGCTTTTGTTTTCACCTGGGATGGGGGCCGGAATGCAGTTTTGGGAAGCGCTGAAGAAATTTGATTGGGTGGATATTTATTCAATGAGGCTGAGGGTTCAAATTAGGTCTGTGCAGCTATAAAAATCAATTCAGCCTAGCTGCAAAAACTGCCAGGTTTGTCACTGCCTGCAGCTTGGGGATGTCGGATGGACGTTGTGGAATCAGCTGAGGTGTCTCTTCATCCACGCCATGACCCATACGGTCCGTGTGGGAGATTTGATATAGTCGAGGCCACAAGCATTGTATACTGACAGCCACCTCTTCTGATAGCGTTGTGGCAGTCGTTCTAGCCTCAGGCTGGATCCATAGCCTGAGGCCTTGTTGTGCTAGGGAGTAGATGCACTTGAATTGTAGCGCTTCTTCATCGGAAGACTTGGTTGACATGTGTTGGTGGTAAACTGGGACTGGGACCGGACAGAATGGACAATGAAGCATGATTACCAAATCTATTGAGCATGCGTATGCAACTACTAGAAATACGGTACCAGGGCTCGACTTTGGCCGAAAAGCAAACTATCTGAAACATGATAAGTAAATTAATCAAAGTCCAGGCCACAATGGTCAACATCGGCCGCTTGTCCATGCAATGAGACATCAATGAGCTGGCGTCCATCGGGCTGCCTGCTGAAGATTTCGAACCCGAATCCAGGGTTAAAAGAGGATCCGACCTGGGAAACTAACAGATAATAAGTAACTGCAGGCTCGAACTACAATAGTTTAACAGCTGCGTGAGCCGGAAAAAAATATATATCCTGGCCCCTAAAAGTAGCTGAGTCACAGTCATGGCCCTGATGATTTTCTTCTCTCTGTATGAAAAGGTCTTTGGTGGATCGAGAGCATGTAAATCACCACTGTTCCTGGGGACGGCACTGCTGGCTGGAGGAGACCACTCAATGATCGGTGAGAGTCTATGTTGTTTCATATGGATGATGACTGACATTATGATTTACGATTTGCAAAATCAAATCATACAGTGACAGTCACATCTGTTTCCATAATAATGATGAATCGAGTCTGAGACTGTTTCGATTCAAATTCACTCATTAATAGTCCCAACAAATGGTCAAAAGGACGACAGTAGTTCAAGGACATATCCCTATGAAGCCTTTGAAAACTTTGACCTCTCTGGTAATTCTGGATTGAATATGATTCGATTCATACTGCCGGCTGCCTTCTCCATGGTCCAAATAAAATGATTTGTAACGTGCCGATATCATCGTCGACTGTGGTGACTAGCAATCCGTCAGTCAGTCACTGTCATTTGACATGGAGGGCAAGTAACAGCGTAGCACCAGCTGCTTTTGAAACGGATGTGATTGGCAATTCCTCAGGCAGCCAGCGTTGAATGCATCAGCAAAATGATTTTATCCATGTCTATATACACTCACTCCTACCATCGATAATGATCCCTGATCCCTGCTGCTGGACATGAGTGGAGGTTGTGCTCGTTGACTTCGAAGCTTACAATTCATCAGGAAAACAACGGTGTGACACGAAGTAAGATGTTTTGGCTGTCTGTTAGTTAGGGCGCAGTGCCAGTTTCTTCCCAAGAAAGGACTTGCCACAACACTGTGTTGCTTGGGCAAAAGCTAGGAGTAGCAGACTCGCCCTTCGACTGACCACCAGTACCCGCAAGTGGCCAAGTTGGAGCCAGGTCTGAGAATGCCAGACTCAGACAGCCAAATCCATTCAGGTATCAGGTGGTACTACTACAGGTTGCTTGATTACATAATTAATTGACATTATTCTATATTATAAATGTTGATTCCAAACGTGAGCTGAACAATAAACCGATCTGGCCTTTCTAGCTACTGAGGGAACGCGATATAGCTTAATCCTGACCTGGCACTTTTTCATCCTTTGGTCGGTTCGTCCGGTTGCACCTGCGACGTTTCAACATGAGAGGGCGTCCATCGTCTTCAAACACTGTTGCATTGAAAGCGGGCTCAGGGTCAGCAGCAGTTGCGGCAGCAAGGGTCTTGGGCGCCTGTGGAGAAGCCAAGGTTACTTCCACATCAGCATCCCGGAGCCGCTTGTCTCCAGGAGGATGATTGGGTGGTGTCACTTCATACAACTGCGGTTCCGTCGGTGGAGTGGCAGTGCTAGGCAACTCTTGGGATGAGTTCAGTTCCAATGACCCCACCTGCTGTGATGAGACTGACGTGTTGTCGGCCTGAATGCCACCCCCGCGGAGATCTTCATATGATGTTTTGTAGCCGCTCTTCCCAAGACTCGGCTCTCGGTTCTGCCCAGAAGACATTGAAATAGAGTCAGGTGACACTCCCTTAGATTGACAGAATTTGCGCTGTTGTTTACAAAACTTGCAAGGCTCTGAACCCACGACCACCAACAATAGTGACAATTGACCAGTCAATTGAAGACGCCGGAGATCTTGGAGAAAATTTGCGTTGGGGTGTTTCATAAAGCTCACATCGTCAGCAGCCTTCTTGTATTCATTCACGACTGGCAAGTTCGTGATCCATCTCCTTTTTGGTCCATGCGCTCATCAGACTGTATCTGAGTCGGGACCCTATCATTTCCGGGAATGATAACAATGCCGCGCAAGCACAAGCGCATAACTTTGGGCGCCATGTCGGCCGGGTCGGTCGACAATCAAATCAGGATTGGCGAAATGGTCACAGACAGCCGCGCTTGAACGGAAAAAGCCTTGAGAGTCAGTAGTGTGTGTGTCCCCAAAACTGACTTGGACTAGATTATAGTTACTATATGAGAGTATAGACTAGGTCAGTGACAGGATCAGCTAGAATTTGTATGTGCATATATACATGCATATATACATATATATATATATGTGTATGATAGTTTAACAGTTAACAGTGACAGTTAATCATATCAATTTGTCAATTGCCGATGGGACCAACTGGAATGGCAGTTGACATCTTGAGCTGTTGGTTTGTTGGTCCATTGACGACTGACTGAGTTCATGACAATGAGAAAGCTGAGCGAATGAATTGACCTGGCTAAGGCTTTGCGGTCCTGAGACTTTTGCCATCGACCATTATTGACGACGAAGTGCTCAAGAAGAAATCTTGGTCACTTGGTACCGCTGGCAGAATCCCAATGTCTAATGCAGCAACTTCGGACGATCCTGATGAACGAAGTTCCCTGCATCATTTGCGGCCAAACAGTCGCAATGAACTTGCCACATCTCGTACAGGCCTTCACAAAGCCTTCAGAGTCGAGAGCGTGTGTTCGCGAACTTCTTGCGAACCCCGTGCATTCTGGACGCTCCAAACTAAAGTCGCTACCGCCAAGGAAGTAGGGATAGTCCTTCGGTAAAGACCATTGGTGAACCCTTGGGGATATTGCTTTGTCACTGTGTCAAGTCAATCATTTTAAAGCCCTTTTGAAGCCCAAAAGAGACAAAGACGCAGCTGTTAAGGAAATCATCCAGAAAATGTTCGGAATTTGTCAAAAGGCCTGACTCATATGTGCCTCGCGATGCAAGCTGATGAGGCAAAGTCCCCGGCCAAATCAAACGGTGAATGTCCAGTATGGTTTGGAACATTGAAGGCGTTTCTTGGCTTGAATCAAACTAAAACATAAGTCACACCGACACCGACCGTGCTTTGGGACTAACTCTGACACAGACAGGACCCACCCACAATTGAAAGAATAGTGCACCAAGAAAAGCACTACTGAACATGCTCATGCAAGACGCTCGCGTATTGGGTTTCTTTACTGGTTCGATGCTGAAGTGGAACCACGTCCCCTTTCAATGCCAGCACAACTCCACGACAGCCCACTGGCTTTGCCAATCTGGCAAAGTGCCCTTCGATTGCCAGACACTCTGAAGACCAGTCATGCTCTGATGGCGCTCGAGCCATCATGAACTCTGAAAACACCAAAGAGTGAAGTCACCAGTGACCCCAAGTCTTTGCATGTCCAGAAGTTAAAGTAAAAGATAATATCAAAGAGTAAAAAAGAGTAAAAATACGAAAGAAGGGTAAGCAAGATTAAACGAAAATAAGAGATATGATAAAAGCGTAAGGGCGACCAAATGCAGGGTACACCATCAGATTAAGAGCCATCACACAGAAGTCCCGCGAGCTATGCTTGGTCAGGGCATCCCGTGCATAAGCACGTGATGGTAGTCCAAGACCAATATGATCATGGCATATAGCAGTAATCCAAGCACGCCACGCTATGGATTCCTTTTTCATTTTCGAACGACTCCAGTGTTTGCTTTTGACATGCTGGGCTCGTAGCACTGGCTATGCTGGGCTGGCTGGGCTGGGGAAGCCGAAGTTTAGGCTTTGAAGGATCCGGTGTCCTTCTTGGGGCAATCTAGTCCAGGCAGGGCTCTATGCCTGCAAAGCAGTTGGCGGCAGTGAGCCAGCTGGCAGTTCTCTTAAATTTTTTGCGGAGCGAAACGCCGTGGAAACATGGAGAGCCCACACTTGAGACTTGAGGATTTGACCCAAACATACTAGGACCGATGATCTGCTGATTCCCCACAAAAAACATGGAGGTCTTTCTGAGTTCCACTGATTCAGGACTTTTGGGGATGATTGTCCCACGTTCATCTCTGAGCAGCTGTAGACTACAACAACACGAACTAACTACTGAATATGCTTCCCTTGTTTCAGGCACATTGATGAAAGGTTGACATACACCCAACTTATCTCCAGTCCTGCAGGTCAAATTGTGCCAAACACACTGTCGTGCCCCCACCCTCCACCGGGCAGTCGATAACATGGCGATATTGGGCGCTGGGCAAGGAAGCTTCTGGGAAAATGGACAAGAGGAACAATACTTGCTTGCCATTCCCTGGATCCTTTCTTGAGCAACATCCACTTGGAGTTTGAATCAAACAATATCAATCTTTATATCACTATAATGACTACAATGTATAGATATATACTATAGACCATATACATATACTTACACACATGTACATAATATACACTAATATGCCCTACTCTTTGTCCGATATAAGCTCCTTCACAAAAGAGCGGACTGTTCGAGCAAACCGACCTTGGACTTCCCAGGCCGCCTCTTTCAGTTGACGATTGCTCTCTTCAATCTCCACTTTCAACTGAGCAGTCAGAGGCGGGAGGTTCGGAGGGATGCGCTGCTTCCAAAGATTGGATCCCAATGTCCCAGTAGAGCTGCTATGCGCTGCTGAGTGATAGACTTGCAACCTCAAGCCCCATTCGAACATATGCGAACACTCCACTCTGCACAAGCCTCGCAGAAAACAGGACTCATCAGAGTCGAAATGAGTGGAACCATAACTTGGAACTGCAAAGCTGTGACAAAGCTTTTGGCACGCCATCACCAGTCAGATGATTATACAATAACTATAACCAATCACAAGCAAAACCCATAACATTCACATTTATGCAACAAACCTTAATATACAAACCTTCAATCTCCATCTCTGCTCGCCTTGAAGTGTCCCCAAAACTCTGCACTGAAGCATACTGAAGCCAATCCCTGAAGATCTTTTTGACCGCTGAAATCCTACTATGGTGATGCTTTTCTTGCGTTCCTTTCATCCATGGTCGCACCGTCCTGTGTTTTCACCCGGACCGATGTCGGTCGACCCGAAGGACGAAGGACGTCGGTCGACGGCTCAGAGCACCTTGGCATCCTCTTCCTTCAACTCGTTGAAATTGTCCAAGACCTGGTGGTCTCAGGTGGTCGGGCCTTGTCTGGCTTCATGATCTTTCCACACAGTGCAAGCATGCTCTATTTGGAGAAATGCAGCGTCGCAGTTGGCTAAGCATACTGAGTACTATGTCATAGTCATACTCTTCCACACATAGTAGTGATGAAGTGCATCAATTAAATTGTCAATGTGACAATAATTCAGTGCGAGCCCGTAGTTGTTGTATGCTTTTGTAGACTCTATATGGCGATGTAAGCACACTCAAAAACTGCAGAATACTTGAACTCCACTGTATGCCAGAAAGTCTGCAGCACTCTGGCCATAAGAGGGCGAACGCGGGACGTGGAAACATCCAATCAGCTCCACCCAGCGTATTCCTTGACCCATTGGTATTGCCTGACGTTTCACCCTTCGGGTGGAAACTGGAGTCCTGAAATCCCGACTTGAAAAACGGTCACCCAGTCATACCCCCCAGTCTTGCGACCTCTGAAACTTGTAGATCAACCCATTTTTTCCGGTGATTCAGGGGAAACAATTTTTAACTGGCTAGGAATCAACAAATTTCTTCTCTTATCAGCATCATTCCTTTTCCCATTTGACTCTCCCGCCGATTGATCGCCGCTTCCCTTCGCAAAACTTTGTTGGGCGTCCCGAGCCGAGCTCATCTCCTTCCGTAGCTTGCTCAGCTCGGTCTCCCTGGAGCCGTGACGTCGGCTCGACGGTCTTCGTTCCAGCCAGTGACTTCATACGCCTGTAGACCAAGCTGGGGAAGAGTTAGGAGTGATAAAGCCTTTTAGGTCGGTGGTAAATTGCTCGTTGGTTCCCCAAACAAACTTCCGACTTAAAAAGAACAAACAATTCATTGGCAAAACACAAAATACTAGGATATCACTTGTCTAAAACATTGCATATGTTTAGATAAACATTACTTTACTTCATTTTACTTCGAGTGATCCCCACCATGACATTTCAAAACAGCCACGTTGACATCACCCTCGTTGTGTATTTCAGCCCATAGCACAAGTCCTTCAGCGCCAAGTCTTACTGTTTTGTCTGAAGCGAATGCCTTCATCAGGAGACCTGTGCCCAACTAATAATACAACTCTGATCATTTCAGTAGTAGTCGTACTGGGCGGCCCAAAACTGGGAAACTTCCGGGGCCCGAGCAGTAGTAGTAGCAATAGCAGCGCACAGCTTGGGGTAGTAGTAGGTCGTAGGCGTAGTCGTAGTCGTAGTAGAAGTAGAAGTAGAAGTAGAAGTAGTAGAAGAAGTAGTAGTAGTAATAGTAGTAGTGGTAGTGGTAGTGGTTGTGTTTTTGTGGTTGTGTTTGTGGTTGTGTGTTTGTGGTTGCGTTTGTGATTGTGTTTGTGATTGTGTTTCTGTGCTTGTGATTGTGTCTTTGTGGTTGTGTCTTTGTGGTTGTGGTTGTGTTTGTGGTTGTGTGTTTGTGGTTGTGTGCTTGTGGTTGTGTGTTTGTGGTTGCGTGTTTGTTGTTGTGTTTGTGGTTGTGTTTGTTATTGTGGTTGTGGTTGTGTGCTGTGGTTGAGGTCCGGCAGGGAACACTTGGGCCTGGAGCTCGCGGTTGAGGTCCGGCAGGGAACACTGGGCTCGGATGGTCGTGGTTGAGGTCCGGCAGGGAACACTGGGCGTGGATGGTCGTGGTTGAGGTCCGGCGGAGGAGGACGAGGCGGAGGAGGACGCGGAGGAGAAGGAGGAGGAGGATGAGATGGGGCAGTCGTAAAATCTAACAACCCTCACCTGACAGGTGGGGTAATTTCTTGGCTCTTTTTACCATCAGGTGAGCAAGGTCCATTAGAAGTGAACTTGTTTCCAGTCTTGGCAACTTTCTGGACCAAAAGAAGGTTCTTGAATGGTATGAGTAACCAATATGGTTAGGACGGTCTATAAGCCATCTTTTGGGTTTCCTTCTGTTGCCTTCAGAAAACAAATAAAACATTGTCGGACTTTGATGCCGGTTGGCCAGGGCTTTCCAGGTTAGCACCAAGATTCTGTCTTTGGAGCTTCTTGCAGATGTTGGCAATCCGCATCTGGGGTGTTGATCGAACGGAATTAGTAATAACCGGGCTTTCCCAAACCCTCAAAAATGGTGAAGGTGTGTGAAGGTCACTGCTATGTCACCATGCTTGTGTTCCTTAAACCATTTTGTTCACCCGAAACTGTTTGCTGACAGCTAGGCTTGCAAACGGATGATGACACATCGCTTCAGTGATCTTCATGGGAGACAAACAGAATATAAAGGTCGCCACAGAGGATTGTCAATTCAGTGATCATGATTGCAGAATCTTTAAACACACGTTCTCACTTTGAGAACTCACCACCTGGTCTCTGGATTTCGGAGAGAAAATACCTTTCTGTTCATTCTGTGAGGGCCATCCGAACGTTCAAACTCCCGTACTTATGCCATACTCACTTCAGCCAGCTAACCGTTCAACGGTCATCCAGCACAGCTTCCGCCGGACATGCCACAAGTCAGAGGTTCTGCCGAGTGGCGCGTTCCGGACCTCGATCCGACGCTGGCTCCTGAGCAGCACCAATATCAGGCTCGTTGCGGTACCTAGAATTTTTGACCCCTGAAACCACTCAGGGCATGTGTAGGTAGGTAATTATATAAGTATTCAGCGCATGGGCGGCCTGGATCTTGTGAGGGAAGAGCATGCCAAGACATCCGCTTACCCCTCGGAAAAGGCTTGACCAGTGGCCGGGCATGCTTGCGGGATTCATTGGAATGAATGCAAAGAGCTTCCCTGCCCCACGCAGTGGGGTCAGCAGTCATCGGGTTGCGGTCATCTTGCTGTGAGGATGGAGGAGTCGGCAACTAGAATGTGCGCATGCTAAAGCCTCTGAGCATCTACGATCTGTACCACGGTCATCTTTGTATATTATCCGCATGCGTCCCTCTCAGGTGCAGGAGTACTTTCTTCAATAGGACGGCCAAGGCGCAACTCCTCGACCAAGGCGGCCTCAGTTGAGTGCGACCGTGTCATCAGCAACAGCCGTACGATGTGCCGTTATATCACGAACACACGTTGTTCATAGGCCCTAGGCCATCGGGAGCGACACTGGAAAGAGCTGCGACCCGGGGTTGACTGATTCTACGCGTCCCAGGATATTCCTGAAAAAAGTCTCTTCGGCCCGACCTCTCTTAGTACTTGCTCCTAGTAGCGATGCCCTTTGCTCCTAGTAGCTTCTTCCAAGTGCTGATCCGGAGCCTCTCTTAGTCTTTCCACCGATCCCCCAACCTTGCTCACGGGATCGCACCTGCTCGTCGCTACAGCGAAGGCTAAGTCGTTTTGGGGGCTTTCAAAGCCCGGAGAGATGGCGACTCAGTTACTCAATGACTTGTTTCCACGATGTGTCAGTGCGACTCAGTGAGACCCTCCGTACTTTATCACTTGGAAGCTACTAGGGGCTCCTGGCATCGCTACTAGGAGCAAGGACGCTACTAGGGGCTCCTGGCATCGCTACTAGTAACAAGAAGCTACTAGGGGCTCCTGGCCTTACTACTAGGAACAAGAAGCTACTAGTAGCAAGGGCATCGCTACTAGTTACTGGTAGCAAGAAGCTACTAGGAGCAAAGGGCATCACTCCTTGCTCCTCTGTCTTGATGGAGCTCCGATGAGTCCACAAACTGAGGACACGGGGAGGGGTGGGCCTGCCTAGGCCACCAACAGAAGAAACAATTTGAAGTTGGGCCAAAGAACTCCAACTATGCCCCAGTGATACACAACAGCTGACAAGCCAACGGCTCCCATTCCTCTTTTGTTGCGGTGTCTAGCTTCACATCTTGTCCCTTCAAATCACACGGCTGCACAAACACTAGCTGGGGTCATACACGTCCAAACCAAACTCAAACATCTCCTTTAGCACTTTTGGGAGTCACTGCATCGCTCCGGAAGTTCCGTCGCCCAGGTGCAGAGGTCTGCTGAGCCTCTCCCAGTGCGTCGGTGGCGGAGTCCAAACGTTCCTCCAGCTCCACCAGACTCTTGGCTGCTCGGCTGTCCTCGTAACCCAAACCCCACCGACGACGCGTTGTCCACGATTAGTGAGCGACCGGGACGACGATGGGTTGGTAGAGTTCGTAGGGTGGTCAGCAAGTGACCACCGCCCAGGTTTGGGACATGGTGACAGGTTTGGAGCAAAGAGACAATTTTTGACTTGGGTTTGATCATAGATTGGGCGAACGGTTACCATGAGTTACCATGAATATCATAAAACATAAATGGTTTGTTCTTTTTGGTCGTTGGATGGGTTCAAAATTGGTCTAACATGCGTGCAAATACAAATAGGATCAATTAGATATCAATTAGGCTAAGTGCCAGTTTGGGACATCGAGAAACCTCAGTAAACCTGCTGGCCAGGCTGGGGCAACCAAGGTGCAACATGAAGATTGCGGATCTAAGCAGTTTGATCGATGGACATTCTAGGTGCACTGTTACATAAAGCTGCGCATGTTTCTGTCAGCTATATATATATATATGTATGATAATATATATATATATGCAGATTATAGATGTACAAAGCAGACGAAGGATCGCGGAACAGGCAGGTTGTTTTGGAACACCTCAGTGCCTTGATTGATGTGCCAAGATGTTGGCCGCACAACAAGAACACATTTTCCAAGTGTTCCCAAGCAGCGGGCGAACATGCGACAGATTTTGCCATGAGCCCATGAGCCATGGGCCATACCTGTTGACTCCCTGACAAGCAAGAATGCTTGACACCTCAACGCCCACGCACACATGGTCATGCTTCTGCACTCCCCCAACAGAAGATCTTTCAGGGTCTATCCTCCTTTCAAGCACTGTCACCGACTTGCACCCCTCCCCTCCACTTTCTGCTCTCCTCATTGAGCTTCAAAAGGCGCTTGTGCTCCTGGTGCCGAGTCCCGAGTCCGTGAACAGAAGTGGCTGCTGACAGGTTCACATGTCACAGTTTGCCAACACGCAAGTAAATAACGAGTGCCTAGACATGACACAAATGACTCGACTTGCTGTTTTGGCCACGGCCAAGCTGCCCCTTGACGGGTCACAAGACCCAAAATGACATAGTGGTCGGGCTGTGTGTGTGTGTTGAAATCTATAAATTCTAGAACTCTAACCTGGCCCTTAGTTCTGAGATGTTATGAGCAAACCCTATGGAAATTCCGCTGCAGGTTCCACGGCGTTTTGAATCAAGGCGCCCGTCTAGCGATGCAGCCGATGGCCACCCATTTCTTGGAGCCGGAATGATTGACGTATGCATGACACCTGGTCACACACACAAAATAAACAAGTTCTGCCAGGAATTGTTTCTGGTATGTTAGGACGCCTACCCTCAGTTCACCTGTCGTCTTTCCCCTGCATCACCGGACAGACCCCGAACAGCTGCCCGTTAACAGGATCTCACAGACTCCTGGCGGGGCCCATGCTGTTGACGAACGTCCGCCTTTACTGTTTGTATAGGTCTCAAACATATCCTCCAACAGGTCACCCTTGCAACCTTCAGCCGTACTCTCAAAAGTGAAAGCTGCTGGTGGATATAGATGTAAAATTGATTGCTACTAGGAGCAAACACACTACTAGGAGCTCCTGGCCTTACTACTAGGAGCAAGAAGCTACTAGGGGCTCCTGGCATCACTACTAGGAGCAATGACGATACCAGGTTCCACCAAAGAATTCGATTCCCATTTGCACCAGGGGATTCCCTCAGGCATTTGCGAAGTGATACTAAGTCCTTGCAAAACCTGGAGTATTTGTCGATGATGCAACTGTCAGCTGAGGTATATATATATATATGTATATATATAACATCAAGTTTGGGAGTCCCCTATTGTTGTTGCAGGGTGTCTTTTCTTTGTGAATAATATATATATAATTATATATATAAATGCAACATAATTCAACACTCCAAATCACTCGTGATGACCGCAACCTTTGAACATGTCGAAGGAACTTCATGAAAACCCAATCGCATGCGACTGCCTTGGTCTTCTTTTCATCGGGCGGGTCCGTCCTTCATGCCATCAAGGACCGCACGTTCAGCCTCTAAAATCTCGGCGTTTTTCACCTGGGAAAGGTCACGTTCAGACGCGCCGCATGTCATGGCACGAAAACGGTCACCGACCCGAAGGGGGCCCGAAGGGGAAAACAGTTGACCCAATCTATGAGGGAAGAATGACCTATAATATAGCCTATAACCTATACACTTGCTTCTATCAGGGTTAGAAAAAAGGAGAACAACACCAAAGAAACCTGATTAAAAAAAAAACAACGAAACAAATCTAGAGTTATCCTCTGTGGGCTATCAAGGGTGCTTAGTTCTTTACCACACTTAAAACTTGCTGGACCCAAAGAGCGTGAAAGTCATTAAGTGTCTTACGGTCTTACGTGTGATTACCCAGGTGATGTTTTTTGTTGGTATTGATTGTCTGGATTTCCAACTACCCCGAAGGAACGGGAGGAGCCAGTTGAATACCAAATATTGAGTCACCAATCCACTGGAGTGCCCACAAACTACCTGCGCAATGCCTTACTCAATCGCCGGGCAAAACAGGCCTCCAATCAACACCAAACAGTAACTTTGTGAGGTGCACGATCTGCTTCCTTCGAGGCTTTCAGCTGCATTTTGGTACAGCTGTGACAGGTCGAAGCCCACACTTCTTGCTGGTTGCTAAAGGCACGGCAACAATCAGGCTCGGCCCACCAATGGAAGTGCATGGATGGTGCAATGAGTGTGGCTTTTCCAGGGATCTGCCTAAGCTGCTTAAGCTTCACCGCTAATACGATTGCACACCATCTACCATCGTCCTGTCGTGTGGCCTTTTGGCTGACTCACGGAGTGGCCCCAACTTGAAACCAACGACTTCACCGGTGTTTCTTTTGATGTGGATTTCAACAGTCCTTTAGGATTGACCTGCAACATACTCTTTTGGGGATTTGCTTAAGGAACCAGGAAAAACGTATGACACATTCATTCACCCATAGGGAAAAGTAACAATCACCCTGACCAGGTTTTGTTTCAAGGTGATAGGCCAGAAGCAACAGGCTTTGGCCGCTTTGGCTGCTTTGGCCTCTTTGGCCAAAAAGTACAGTGCACACTCCCGCCGATTTCTCTGTAGTGTTTGTCCAGGCCAAACAGATTGAGATCTCGCAACCGAAACGACACCCATCATGACACAGTTCAATAAGCTCATGCAACCAACCAACCAACCAACCAACCAACCAACCAACCACACCTGGGACGACAGCATACGTCAAGAATCTGTGGTAATGCCAATCCATCTAGGAACCAATATCATTGCGAGCGCTTGTTGAAGGAAGCTCCCCCAGCCCGTAGGCGGGGTGAGCTTCCTTGAAGAAGCGTGAGCTATCCTGCGTCCATATGTAGTAGCTTAAGCAAGGTACTAGTACTCCGCGCCTCAGACTTGGCCAACGGGCGGATCTCATTGGCGCACTGCTGCAGCTGCACCTGTGGACCGAGGGTTGATGTTGGGTACGTGCCAAGTCTATTGGATCTCTGAACACAAAATGGAGGATTCGGTTTCAAGATGTTTCAAATATCATTGGAGTTGTTTTCCAGCAAAATTGGTCTTGACATGTCTTGACTGTTTTCTTCACCAGCTAACAACACCAGAACGCACCAGGATATCAACAGGCGGACATGTTCGTCGTTCCGCTGAAGTGACCTGGTTCACTGTCACGAATGCGTAGTAAACTCAGAATGCTGGCGGCTCTCATACAAAACACATCCAATCAAAGAACAAGCTTTAACTGCCACATAAGTACATATTATACAAAGTACATTTGGTATGTTTCCAAAGTTTGCAAGGAACAATGAAGGCCATGAAGGCCGCCCTCTGTGCCATGAATTGGATTGATGAAGCATAGGGTACCACCTACAGCACCACCTAAAGCCCCTCGCAACATGGGTGTGTATTCGAGTAGAGAGGCTCCCAGTTCAACCTTCTGGTCACGGTCTCCGTAGGAAGGGACCCTGATTTTATTTGGAATCAAAACTATGGGAATAGACTAAAGCTAATGCGAACTACTAACTAATCCCGCTGTTCCTGCGATACTACGAAACCTCCTGACAGCATGGCCTCCAGAACGATGTTCGCCAGGCCAGGCATCTCTGCATTGTGTGGCACGCTTGCGCCGCCAATCAGCAATTCCTAGCAGCTCGAGCTAGGAGAAGCAAATCATCTGTGGGCTGTGATCAGCTGGAAGACTTCCAGGGGGTTGTTGAAGTCCCTATTTTGAAAGCAACAACCTGGCCTGGGGGTGCTTCACTCCAACAACCATCAAGTCACACGGTTGACACAGCCTTGATGCACTGGCGGAACTTGTTCTTGATGGCTAAGGAAATGGGAAGTGCACCATCGCCTCAGGCCGAACCGCATCCATGGGATGCCTCCGACCACTCCTGCAAGGTCACGATGCTTCGATGGTCGGTGAGGCCAAGCTGAACAATGGATGTTTTGCTGCTTCCCCATGTTTTCCCTTAAGATCACCCACAACTGTACCATTCATCTCTGATAAAAAACATGCCAACCAAGCAGGGCATTTTGTTCTCCTGCCACAAATGGGATGCCACACGTTTGACTGCTTGTCAACAAGCGCATGTCGCAGCTTAATCTTGCAGAACATGATCCTGGGCAGCTCCTGACCCCGAAACAGGGACACAGCATGTAGAGGTATAAATGGCAACGTGTAGTCAAGTCGTTGAACATCTTTTTGATTTCTTTGTCTGTGGGTCAAACCTCATACCTGGTGAGCATCAGCAGATAGAATCCTGGGGCCTTTAAACTAGTACTAGCATGTACTAACCCATGAACCAACATGTCTGACAATCATAGTGATTCATTCCTAGCTCACACCAAGATCCAATCGATCAAATCAGTTGCTACTGCCCACCCTGGAGTTCACAAGTTGGGAACCCCGCTTTGCAGAACAGGTTCGGTGCAACTTCAGGGCAAGACGTAGCTTTATGATTTATGATATGATGTTTCTAATGTGGGTTCTAGATGGCTTATCACGCAATCCTAAACCATGGAAACCGACAGAAACCATTTGGTGGCGCTAGGCACCATAGTGGTCAACCACCAGCGAAAACGAACATCACTTACTGCTCAGTCGAACCATAGTTCCGCCTTGTCAAGAATTTGACCAGTCCTTTCGTGTGCCTTCAGAGGTGTTTAAGCATCTCTTTCGCCTACTTGACGTCGTTCCCGCTCCATCCGTGGAAAAAAGTCATCTTGACGCTCAGTGTCTATCAGGTTTGGTGACGTCGGCTTTCATGGTCACCAACAGTGCGATGCTCTTGGGCATGTCATTTCCTCGTTGGTGACCGCTGAGTGTCCAACGAAAGTCTTGTTCAGAGTTTCTGTCCAAAGCAGCGTTGGTGCAGTTGAATGTTTACCCATCAGTTGGGGTCATTCCGCCAGGGGCCAATGAAGAACATCTCCACTATATATAAATATAATACATAATTATGATATATTTTGATTCAATATGTGTTTAGATCCCAAATTCAATATACAACTTATTATAGAAACACTATCAAAGACCCCAACTGCTATCTTCCAGTCCAACGGATTCAATGATATTCAATGGATATGGATTGGGAGAACACATTACACACCAAGTGATATGAGCTGCAGGAAAATCCAATAGAACTCGTTGAAATCCTTGGCTGCGGGCCTTAAAAAACGAGTGAGCTGTGGGTACTATGGCTTGCTACTGCTCGTCATCCACCAAGTTCTGCATCTTCCTCTCACTCAGGTGGACTCAGCGACCAAATGCTAGAAATTGCCAACACAAAAGGTCGATTTGGGACTGCTTGGCAGGTTTGAGGCTTGATCATAAAATGCATCCTGAACCTTTGGAACGAAAAAAAACAACAGTGTAAACAAAAACACCTGCAATGTGGACATGGAGAATCTTTGGGTCAGGTTTTGGAATAATTTATTGATTTATTGCTCCCACTGCGGCAAGCCAGGAGGGGACTACCAAACACCCCCCGCATTGTTTTCTCGTTTTTTAGGGGGTTCTTGGAAAAAAGATCCGTCGCCCAAAATTCACCAGCCTTTGTCACACGTCTGATTCTGATACTGACTGAATGCTGCAACCAAAGCAGAATGCCCATCCCAAGGATAATTGGAAGGCCAGGAGCACCGTGCAGCACCCCGCGTTGTTCCATGTGCGCTCCACGATGGCCCTTGTTTCCATCACATTGGAAGCGGCTCAAGGCTCAAACTCCAGCATGGGGAGCGAACATGGAACAACTTCCGGATGTGGTCTTTGAAAGCCCGTGGTTTGAATTGCTTTGACTTCACTTGGCTTTGCCTCCTGACAAATAGCTCAACAACAGCCACAACCATTCATTCGGGGATTCCCGTTTCTGCAAGTCTTTTTCCCACTGCCATCTGCCATGGCAGCATGATCGTTCCTCTCTTCTGCCAGCCCTACGAACCCACCCAAGTCAGGTGATCCTCGGGGTAGTACATACCTAGCTCTAATTCGGCCTGCCCAGCTTCCAAAGACCCCAAATCGCTCTTGCCCAGGCACTCACACAGGTGTGGATCAATTTCTTTCCCTCACGGTCCGAACCTGAGTGAAATAGGGCACATGCGGTTCCATTGAAACTACTCAAGAAACACTATCAGCATCAGGTTGAGGGATGTCCTCTGCGAATGCATGCGAATGCCAAATAACAATGGATGTCCTCCATTGAGTATGGCCTTGTGACCACATACTATCTGGCCAAACAAACATGTAGAAGAAGCTGGGTACTGCTGGTCCTGGTACCTTCCAGTCCAGTATGATCTCATAACATAAGAATCTCTGAGGCACAAACTGATGATCAGCAAGGTATTATATATATATAGTCATTTTGTTGCCATTCTTCGGTCATTTTGGCTTTGTCAATCTTGTGCAGCCCTGCCATGATGCTGCTAGTCATTGTACTCTCATTTGTATTGTCATTGTTTGGTACAAATGGGATGTTTCCTGGAGATTTCAGTGTGTCCATATTCCATGCTCAATATTCCACTTTGAACTAAGTCAACGTTTTCTTCTTTGAAATCTCCAAATGATCAGGGAAGGTCGAGGTCAAAGAACCTTTTGTAATTTGATGTAATTTGGTGCCTGTCAAAACGGTGCCATGCCTTTGCCATTGCAATCGGTCTCTTGACTTCTTCACAGAATGCATTATTCACAGTTGACATGACTCTGTAGTCTTCTATGACACTTTAGTTGCCATAATGACAAGGTGTTGAAACACATTGATGGCGAAGTCAACTGTTGAGCTGCCTTCTGTCGAGACAAAGCCAGAGCCTCAAGAACCTTGTCTAAACCAGGCTTCCTGCTAAGACAAGGCACTGACAACACATTCCGATCTTTAATGCTGCCCTTCACACCGCCATGATGCAAATTTTGAAACTTGCAGCTGTCCTTTTCGAACCGTTCCCGGGCTGAAATGTGCAGGCAAAGTCATGACTCTGGAAGAACCTCATCGTGGGCCACAGAGTTATGACAAGCAGCTATTGTACACAAACTCTTGAAACAACCCCCCCTATGGTAACAACCTCAACCTCGTCACATGAGTCCCCCATGGGAATGTCACACAAGTTCCCGAACATTTCTGTCTAAGGGCAATGTTTTTACAACATGTTGTGAAATCGTGACTGTTCCAAACGTGTTCCATTGTTTATTAGTCTTACGAATTCCTCCCAAGTAAAACCATCCTTGCTTTAAGTTCATGATTCATGACCTTTTCTGTCGCTGCTCTCATACAGAGCCATTTTGCTGTGTTTTCTTCATTTCCTGGGATGTTGTCACGTTCTTGTCATTTTGTTACAAGCCCGACAACCACAAGACATGAACACGACACACCAAATGACAGCAAATCTGGAAATTCCAAGCATATGCGTCATGATTTAGACATTATATATCTATAGTCTATAACTTATAACTATAAATATCAAGAAAACACCAAACATGCGAACTAGCTAAAATCAACATATTCTCAATCTGACTTCTCCAGGTCAAGAACTCTCATAAGTGTGATCTCAACAAATCAGAACCCCTGGTTCACAGTTTTGCAGCTAGTCTTAGTGAAAAGGCCACCTGCACCCATCGTGCATGGCAAAAAGGCGCTCCTGGAGCAACAAGTAGGTTTTCATGTGCAAGTTTGTGGAGATGAGTTCACCTCCTCTTGGTAGAATTTTCACCCCCCTCTTTTGTTTGAGGCACATCAAGCGTTGCCCAAAAAAATATGTGAAACAAAGACATGCATCAATCAACATCAGCACAAATTCATCACCAATTTTACTTGTATGACTCTATTACAGTATTCGACATATCCATCTTCTATAGTGATTTTGATTCTAGTCTATGAAACGTCGGTCACCGATGTCATGTCACCAAACTCACCGAGCCACAGGTGAGGGGCACGCCGCGCTCCAGGAACACCTGCACCGCCGACTCCTGCGGTGCCCGGACTCCGTCGAGTTATCCAGTTTGATCGAGTTATCCAGATCACCGACTGACGATGGCCTCCAACCTAATAGTGATGGCCTCCAACCTACTAGCGATCGCGTCCAACCTACTAGCGATGGCCTTCAACCTAATAG